GCCAGGGCATCCCAGAACATTGGCCTACATTTGGGAACCCAAATGAGGAATTCTCCTAGACTCATGGCTGTTTGGAAGCTGTATTCTTAGGGAACAAACCCCACTGCTGTCTGTGGGTGGTGGCAGCTCCTGCCTGAGCAGGATGACATTTGGCTGGCGAACACAAAAACTTTTCTTTGTGGTGTACAAGGAAATACTTTTTCTTTTTCCTCAGAGACAACAGCATTGTGATTGTGGTGGGGGAGACGGGGAGCGGGAAGACGACTCAGCTGACGCAGTACCTGCACGAGGACGGCTACACTGACTACGGCATGATCGGCTGCACCCAGCCCCGCAGAGTGGCCGCAATGTCTGTGGCCAAGCGGGTCAGTGAGGAGATGGGGGTCCGTCTGGGGGAGGAGGTGAGTCTGGCAGAGGGTGCAGGGGTACCACCCGATGACAGTGAGTGCATGGGGCTGTTGGAAGACTTGCTGGTATCTCTGCCTTCCCAGGTGGGCTATGCCATCCGTTTTGAGGACTGCACGTCTGAGAACACAGTAATCAAGTACATGACAGATGGGATCCTCCTCCGTGAGTCACTGAGAGAGGCTGACCTGGACAACTACAGTGCTATCATCATGGATGAGGCACATGAGCGCTCGCTCAACACTGATGTGCTCTTCGGGCTGCTTCGGGAGGTGTGTGTGAGCCTGGGCTAGAAGACAGCAGCACGGGGCACTTTGAGCAGAGTATTGGCAGGGACAGCCCTTCTCTGCCAGGTCTGGGAGAGGGAAGCAGAGCTGTCATGTCTCTGTCTGCACTTGCTGCTCCAGCATCTGGGTTCCTGGTTCTGGAGGGTTAAATTCCCTCTAATGCTGCCAGAGTGTCGCTGACTGAGTGTCAGAACTCTCAGTACAGAGATCTTTGCTGGCTTAAGGTTTCCTGGACCAAGGTTCGTGGTCTTTTTAACTGCACAGATCACACAGCACCTGTGCTCCCTGGCATGAGCTGCCAGTGCCTCTGTAATACAGCAGAAGCTCTGTCCTATGCCATTGTCTCAGCAAGAATGGAAGCAGCCCACAGCCATGCACAAATACCCCTTCTTTATTGTTCCTTTCATCTGCTTTCTAGGTGGTGGCCCGACGCTCAGATCTGAAGCTTGTTGTCACCTCAGCCACCATGGATGCAGATAAGTTTGCCTCCTTCTTTGGGAACGTTCCAATTTTCCACATTCCTGGGCGCACTTTCCCTGTGGATATTCTTTTCAGCAAGGTATGGTCAGTGTTGTGGAGGGAAGTACTGTTGTGACAGGAGTGGGTTGTGACCTGGGTGTGCTGTATTCTGGGGTGGACACACAGGACAGAGGAGGAGTGGCCATAGTGTGCTGCACACAGGACAGGCTAGGTGAGGTTATTGGCCCTTGTTAACCTGGGCTCTGCCTTTCAGACCCCACAGGAGGATTATGTGGAGGCTGCAGTGAAACAAGCCCTGCAGGTCCACTTGTCTGGTGCTCCTGGAGACATCCTCGTCTTCATGCCTGGCCAGGAGGATATCGAGGTGAGCTGGAAGGGCAGGCACTGTCCTACCCCCTTGTTTCAATTTGATGTTTATGCCCCTCTTTGTGTTAAGGTGACCTCAGAGCAAATTGTGGAGCACCTTGAGGAGCTGGAGAAGGCACCTGCTCTTGCTGTACTGCCAATCTATTCTCAGCTGCCCTCGGACTTGCAGGCCAAGATCTTCCAGAAGGTGCTGACGTGTGCTCTGTGATAGGGGTGGGGACAGGGAAAAGTGGAGCAGGAGACAGTACAGAGCAGGAGGGAGGGGTGCAGACATGTCTCTGTATTGAATGTGGAGGGTGACAGAAAGCATGTGCCCCTTTCCACCTGTCACTTAGGGCTCTGTGTTGGTGCTCCACACTCCTCTCCAGGGGAGCAGAGCCTTGCCCAGGGGTGTGACTGATGTGTAGTGTTCTTGCAGGCTCCCGACGGGGTCAGGAAGTGCATCGTTGCCACTAACATTGCAGAGACCTCACTGACAGTGGATGGCATCATGTTTGTGATTGACTCTGGCTACTGCAAGTTGAAGGTCAGCCAGGATTTCCTGTACTGTCTGTGATCTCTGCTGCATTTGTGATCCAGCCTTTCTCTTACTTCCATCTGATCTTCTTGTGCCCTGCAGGTTTTCAACCCCCGCATAGGCATGGATGCGCTGCAGATCTACCCCATCAGTCAGGCCAATGCCAATCAGAGGGCAGGCCGAGCTGGCCGGACAGGCCCAGGCCACTGCTTCAGGTAGGCACATCACTGGTGTTCCTGTTCCTTTTGTATCCCCAGCTTGGCATCAAGTTACCTATGTTTTTTGCTCACTGGAGCTGTTCATTATCTTGAACTCGGGGGGGATGTGGGCAGTAGGCAGGCCTGAAGGACTTCTCCTTTGGACCCAGTGTCTCTGCAGAGAAAAGGATGTGTTCCAGCTTCTTCCTGTGCCCATCTTCACTTGTGGCTGTTCCGCCCTGGATGCTGTCAGGATAGGAGCCAAGCCAAAGGCCTTTCCCAGGCTTTGCTCTGAGACCAGGGAAGGGCTGTGCTTGGGCAGGTGCTGTGCTGCAGCCCAAACACCCTGATGTGCTGGGGAGGACACACTTTGGCTGGGGTAGAGGTGTCCCCCAGGGTCCTGCTATCTGGGTGCAGGGTTGCTGCCTTGTGCCATGCCAGGCTGGGCTGGGCAGAGGCTGGCAAGTCTGTAAGAAACAGAGTGGCCAGAACAGGAGGAGCATGCTCTTGGCGTCTGTTCCCAGGCTCTACACCCAGAGTGCTTACAAGAATGAGCTGCTGACGACCACAGTGCCTGAGATCCAGCGCACCAACCTTGCCAACGTAGTGCTCTTGCTCAAGTCCCTGGGTGTGCAGGACCTGCTACAGTTCCACTTCATGGATCCACCCCCTGAGGACAACATGCTGAACTCCATGTACCAGCTGTGGATCCTCGGGGCCTTGGATAACACAGGTATTGGCTGCTGAGGCAAACTGCCAGCACATGGAACTGGGACCTGCCCAGCTGCTGATCAGTGATCCCTCTGCTGTTCCTACAGGTGGTCTGACCTCAACGGGACGTCTCATGGTGGAGTTCCCACTGGACCCTGCGCTCTCCAAAATGCTCATAGTCTCCTGCGACATGGGTTGCAGCTCTGAGATCTTGCTTGTTGTCTCCATGTTGTCTGTGCCTGCCATCTTTTACCGTCCTAAGGTACCCGTTTCATTCCAGCAGCTTTCCCTGCTTGGGGCCTTTCCCTGCTTAGGGCCCTGCTTTTTCCTTGACTAACCCGTGTTCTTTGCTCACCCTTCAGGGCCGAGAGGAGGAGAGTGACCAAGTGCGGGAGAAATTTGCTGTTCCAGAGAGTGATCACTTGACTTACCTGAATGTTTACCTGCAGTGGAAAAACAACAGCTATTCTACCCTGTGGTGCAATCAGCACTTCATCCATGCCAAGGCCATGCGGAAGGTGAGGCTGTGGCCATGAGCCTGGGGGAAGGAGCCTTGTGAAGGAGAGGGCTCTGACTAGCACACACCTTTGCAGGTGCGGGAGGTGCGTGCCCAGCTCAAGGACATAATGGTGCAGCAGCGGATGAGCCTGGCGTCCTGTGGTACGGACTGGGATGTTGTCAGGAAGTGCATCTGTGCTGCATATTTCCATCAGGCTGCAAAGCTGAAGGTGAGAGGTGTTTGAGCTGCCTGGGGGCTGTGAGGCCCTGCCTGGAAACAGGTGGGCTAAGCACACTTGTTTTTGCAGGGCATTGGGGAGTATGTGAACATCCGCACAGGCATGCCCTGCCACCTGCACCCCACGAGCTCTCTGTTTGGCATGGGCTACACACCAGACTACATTGTGTATCACGAATTGGTTATGACCACAAAGGTGAGCTTGAGCTGAGGGATGCCAGGAAGGGTGACAAGTGCTCCAAGGGAGATGGGAGGGCTTTGCTGTGAGACTGGGATCTGTCTGAGTGGCAGTTCTCAGCCTTTCCCATCTATACCAACTAGGCACATCTGTGTCATCTGCAGGGTCCTATTTGTCCCTTTCCCAGTATTTTTCCCTGGCCTCTGTGGGACATGTTTGAACCTCCTTGTGGTCTCACCAAATCCAACCCATAGCAGGGGGCCCTCTGAGGCCAGGAGGAATTGTCTGGAAGGAGTATGGTTCTAGCCTGAGAAGTGCCATCAGCAAGTGAGGAAGGGAGCTGCCATGGCTCTGTGAATAGTGCCCAGGCCCCAAGAGTACCATCCTGCTACCCTGGTCTTCCCTTCTGTCCCTGCAGGAATACATGCAGTGTGTCACTGCTGTGGATGGAGAGTGGCTGGCAGAGCTGGGCCCCATGTTCTACAGTATCAAACATGCTGGCAAGTCACGCCAGGTAAGTCTCCTGTCCAGGATGAGCTGGCAGATGGCAGGCCCACTGCGTGCCTATTCTATTGGGGGGGGGGTGTTTTGACATGGAGGGAACAGGCCATCCCTCTCCTGTCCCTGACCTGCTGCTGCCTTGCTCCAGGAGAACCGCCGCCGTGCCAAGGAGGAAGTGTCTGCCATGGAGGAGGAGATGGCTTTGGCGGAGGAGCAGCTGCGTGCCCGCCGGGAGGAGCAGGAGCGTCGTAACCCACTGGGCAGTGCAAGGTGGGTGCTGGCCCTGCCTGGCCATGGCTTGCCTGCATGAAGCATCCCAGCTTCCCCATGGGCATTCTGGCGCAGCGAAAGGTTGCATTTTCCATTAATCACCCTTGTCGTCTCTGACAGGTCTACTAAAATCTACACCCCTGGGCGGAAGGAGCAGGGGGAGCCCCTGACACCACGACGCACCCCCGCCCGCTTTGGCCTCTGAGACGGCAGTACCTGTTGCTTTGAGACTTAAGGACTTCCAGGAGAAGCTGAGTTTCAGGAGAGTCCCCAACTCCCCTGATCACAGTATTCTATGAGATCTCTACAGCTTGTGGCCCAGGAAGGCTTTGGTGCTTGGCACTAATTTTGCTACAGAACAGAAAGAATTTTATTTGTTTAAAGGTTGTCAGTCTTAATCCTTGCTTTCTTTTGCGCTGCTTCTTGTCCCAGAAGCAAGTGTTGGGTGGAGGCAGCTCTGCAGAATTGTGCAAGGCTGGTGCTGTCAGGTTGTTGGCCTGTAGAACCCTGGAACAAGGAACAGAATTTCAGTGACCTGAAGGACAAATACAGCCTGTCCCTGTTTCAACCCTGGCCCGTACTCATGCAAAGGCAGTTCTCCCACAGCCCATGCCCTTGGCAGGTAGCTTGTGCCCAGCTGTCCCTGCACACCTGGGACTGTTGGCCCAGCCCTGTTTCAGGTCAGGCTGTGCCAGGGATTCTGCTCACTTTTTCAGCTGCTGACACTTGTGGGGCTGCTCAGGTGTTCTGACTGTGAGGTGTGGGTTCTCCTGCATTCTGCCTGGTGTGTCTTGAATGGCTGCTTGTATCCTGCACCTGCTCTGACACCTTGCTGAGCTCTTCCATAAGGAAAGCCAGCTCCACCTTGCAGACAACCAGCTCCTCTTCTCGCAGAGCCAGAGCTCTTTCACTGTCCACATGTAGCTGCTGCCAGTATTGGGCTTGTCTGCTCAGGTCCTGCAGCCTCTCCTGGAGGGAGTAGACATGCCAGTGGCACAGTGAGAGAGATGGGCTGAGGACAGACTCCTGGTGCCCCACAGGAAGGCTTGAGACATCCTTACCTCCTGCTTGCTCTGCTGCTGGGAGCTCTTCCTCAGCCCCTGATGGAGCTGCTGCCTTTGTGTCTTAAGGACTGCAATATTTTTCTCCTGCTTGGTGCTCTCTCGCCGGGCTTGGGCCAGTTTTTCCTGCAGGTTGGCTGTGTCCTGCACCTGCCCGCAAAGCTGTGGGACGGGGAGAGTGGTTGGCTGCACCATGGGCAGGCTGAGCGTCTCCTGGAGGCAGGAGAGGGCTCTGGCACTGAGGCTGCATCCCTGTCCTGCCCTGCCCTCACCTGTTGCTGCAGCTCTACCACTTCTTGGTGTGGGCCTTGGATGGTCTCCTCGGCTCCGCTCAGCTGCTGCAGACTCTGCTGCTTCTGGGCCTTGGTGGCTCCCAACTGCTGCAGCTGAGCTGGGCTGTGCTGCGGGCCCTCGTTCTCCTGTGTCCCCAGCTGCAGAGAAGGCAGTGCATTGGTGGGTTGGCCTCATGCTGTGTGCCATTCCCTGGGCAGGGGCACAACTGCCCTCCTTGTGCCGCAGGAAGCTCCGAGCCAGCTGGTGCCCGGCTGTGTGAGACAGTGGGGGAAAGCTGGCATTGCCGCCGCCCTCCCTGCCCCAGGGTTTCTGGGGGAAGTGGAGCAGGGCTCAGCCCTGCAGCACGTTTTGGGACACTTCCTGTATTGGCTCCTGTGCCCCCCTGGCTGCTTCCTCCCAGACTTGATGCAGTGGCTGGGGGGTTGCTGGCACTGACCTGCTCAAGCAGCTTTCTGCTCTCCACTGGGATATTGGGGCTGGTGACAGAATGGCTGTGGGCAGCCACGTTGGAGGTGACCTCTGTCTGCGCTGCTTCATCCTTCAGGTGGAGGGATGCATCACTGACCTGTGGGTATCCAGTAGGATGTGGGATCACCCTGTGCCCCTGCTGTGCAGAGCTGGGGCTGGAGATGGAGCCACTTTGTGTCAACCCATGGACAATGAGCTGTGGGGGAGGGCCTGTGGCAGAGTACTGTAGCCTGCACCAGGTGGGAGGCAGGAAGGCTGCTGGCTCCTGGCCCTCTCATCCCTGTGCAGCCGCCCCTGTTGTGGCAGTTTCTGCTGGACAGCCAGCAGCTCTAGATGGCCATCCTCGTGGTCCCTGACCTGTGATAGAGCATGGTCACAGGGAGAGTGGTGATCCCAGCTCGCTGGCGAGGTTGCAGGCTGCAGCAGTGCCACCACCCCTGAGACAGTGCCCATAGTGTCATTGGGGCCATTGGGGGCTGCAGTCTTCCAGCTCTGCTCAGCTGGGTGGACTGGGTTGTGCCAGCCATGCCTGCCCTGTGACTGTGCTGCTCTGTACAGGGTGTGGTGCTACAGCCCTGTCCCTTGTGTGGCTGGCAGGACATCCCCTACCCTCCCATGGGGGGTCACCAGCTGTTTGCACAGGCTGTGGGGCAGGCATGGTGCCTAGCCTGTTATGGGAAGGCAGTGGGGGACATTCAGTTTGGCCTGCAGCTGTTGTGCCCAGCAGTGGTACCTTGTCCATCAGCACCTGGCACTGCTGCATCAGAGAGACCAAGTCCTGGTGCTCCTGCTCCATTTCACACTCCTGCTGCTGCAGCTGGGCCAGTCGCTTGCGGTTGACATCCCTGCAGAAGTCCAGGTCCCGCTGCAGTGCCTGTATCGTGGCCAGTACGTCAGCTGGCTCCAGCTCCTGCTGCTGTGTATCCTGGCATACTCTGGGCTCCCCAGGCTGTGGCTCCAGCACCAACGATTGCCTTTGGCCCTAGGACATAGTGTGAGCAGCATCTGTCCAGCTTGCCACTGTGGCCAGCCCATCTTGCAGCTCCTGCCTGGGCAGACACCAGGACTGGACAAGGCTGGCAGTCCTGATTTTGTGCAGAGCAGCAACAGAGCATGTTGCTGATAGTTGGGTGCAACCCTACCCCCCCAGACAGCATCACTCTGTCTGTGTATGTGTGTGTGTGTTTGTGTGTGTGTGACACACACAGTCCCCCTGGGCTCACAAATGGCCAAGCCCCCAACACCACTGGCCCTCAGCACTGCAGTGACACCAGCATGAACTGTGGTACTGTGGGAAGTGGTGGACATGGGACCAGTGCAGCCACAGCAAGACTGGATACCCCTGAGCCCTTGTGCTCTCCCCAGCCCTGGGGACGAGGTGTCTGGTGACTTAGTCAAGGCTGGCCAAGGTCTCCTGTACCACCTGGTCACCAGCCTGTGGCCACATGACCAGCACCTGGGTGGAGCACAGGGTTGGCACTGCTCACCTGGGACTGCCAGGCCTCTGTCTCCTGCTGAAGCTGCTGGATGGAGTTGCTCAGATCTGGTGTTGTCTCCTCTGCCCCTGGTAGCCCTGTACAGTGATACCTTTGAACCCTCAGGCTGGCCCTGAGGTGCAGGAACCTCCCTGGATGTGCCACATTTTGGCCAATCCCTCACTGCTGGAAGGAGGGACAGGGGACAGGCCTTTCCTGTGATGCCAGACAACCCTCAGTCCCAGGGATGTCACCCAGCCCTGCCTGGGGCAGCCCTACCATACCATGGCATTGACACTGCCACTCCCCATCAGGGGAGCACCTGGTGCCAGCAGGAGAGACTGAGCCTGGGACTCCTAGAAAAGCACGGTAGAGCTGTGCGGGACTGCAGCCCCCCCTCAGCAGCACCTGACCCCGCCACTGCCCACAGTCCTCACCGCAGTCTTCCTGGGCCATGATCCTCCTCACCGCTCTGTGTCCCTAGCACGCTGTGGCACTTCCCTGTCTGCCACCATGAGGTTGCCAGGTTCTGGGCATCATCCTCAGAACTGGGCCAGGGCACGGCAACACCCTCCTGCCACGGCGGGGCCTTGCCACCCTCACGCTGCCCCTGCCCTCTCCTCAGGCTGTACTCAGCCTGCGGCTGGCCCCAGGACACGCCACAGGCCTGCGGCCAGGGCTGGGTGGCAGTGGGGCCAGCAGTGGTGCCACACTTGGGGCTGTGCCCTGGGACAGCCAGACACAGCAACCTCCCCAATGTGGCCCCTCTGCTTCGCACCCCGTGCTCAGGGCAGGGCTGGGGAGACCCACCGCAGGGGCACGTCCTGGCGGAGCCACAGGCCCCAGCGGAGGCTGAGTGTGCCCAGGGGAGGCTGAGCGTGTGTGTGGCCAGTAGACTCGCCCTGCCTGGGGCCACCCCACAGTGCCTGGGTGCTCAGAGCAGCAGAGCGGGTCTCTGAGTGCCAGCAGCACCCTGAGTGTGGGCACAGGCCTGCCGCTGGCCCGTGCTGGTGCCACAGGGCTCCCTGTTCTGTGTGCTGTCCCTTGCCGACGCTCAGTGCAGTTTCACAGGTAAGTGTTTTAACTGGAAATTTCCAAGGCCAGGCTGGGCCCAGAAGGTGAATGCAGATGTACCATAATAGAAATCATCGGTTGCTATGACGACCTGCTCCACCAGCGGGTCGAAGCCACAGGCGGTGGGAGCAGGCGCAGCACCAACAGTTCTGCTAACAGGGCTGCTGACCCCCCCTGGCCAGAACACAACAATTTGACCATAATTTCTGCCAGTTGCAAGGGATTTCAGTCTTGTTCAGGCAGCGACAGCTGGGGCACAGAACCTCCATGGGGCACAGAGCGTCCTGGGGTACAGAGCGTCATGCTGTGTGCTGTGCTGTGCCACGTTGCATTGTGCCATATGCAATGCCATGCAATGCCATGCATGTGCCAACACGTGCCACACTGTGCTGAGCTGCGGGGAGTGCCTGTCTCAAAGGGCTTGACCCTGCTCCAGCTCTCTGTGAGCCTGTGAGGCAGCCCTGCAGCCCTGACTCACAGCTGCCCACCTATGCTTGGCTGGTGCTGAGGGGACAGGGTGGTCAAATTGGCCCCTCTGCTGGGTGAGCCGCAGTCCTGGGGGTGGGAGTTGTCTCACTTTAATTACTGCCGTAATGTTATTCTTTTCAGTGCCACGTTAATTGAAATTAAACAGCTGCCGCGTTCAGGCTGGGACAAAAGTGAATCCTTTTTCATTCCCCTCTGGTTTAATGAAGACTGACATGCTGGGAGAAAACAAAGGCAATCCTGCCGCTGCCTCTTGCTGGCACACACACCAGCAATTACTGGGGACCCTGCGGGCCAGCAGAGACACCCTGGAGCACCCAACAGCTGCCAGCCCCAGGCAGCCAAATCCTGTGTCCCAGGGCGCTCCTACCCAAAGGGTCTGGCCAGGGGGATGCAGGGGATGGGACGCCCACAACATGGGGGATGCCAGCATGGAGGTCTCAGTGCCCAGGTGCGGAGTCCAGGCTTTCATTCTGTCTCTTAAGAAGCATCTGGCCACCAGCCATGCCCCAGTGTGGCCCCTCGGCCCCACCATGCTGCCAAAGTCCGGCCATCCCTGTGGGCTCAGCTGGCTTCAGCCTCACAATGTTCAGTCACCAACTGGTCCATGCAGCCCCTCAGCCTCAGCCAGGGCAGCAGTGTCAGCCCAGGTGGGTGCCTCTCTCTAGCCTTAACCTTTTTTCTGTTTTAGGACCAGGAGTTTGCTCGTGATGCCATTCAGAACTTTAAAATATGCAAAATGAGGCACTGGTACAAACCTCATTAACACCCGCCTCCAACATCATTAAGATGTTTCCAAGAAAATTAATTGAGAGACTCATTAAAAATAAATTAAGAAAAATGTGTTGCAGAGCGCCTGCTCCGAGCTCGTAAATCACGGCTCAGAGCTCCAGGCCGCTGCACAGGCAATTAACGCCAGCCAATTTGTTTTATCCCGGCTGCGAAAATTAGAAAGCAGACATGGAGATTAGATTAGGGCTGTCTGTCAAGCGGAACTTGGAGTGAATATTTTAGGATACAAAATGGAAATCAGGAAAACAAAGCTGGGACTTCATTCGGGAGAGCTGGCGGGCAGGGGTGAGGGGGAGGAGGGAGGTTTGGATGTTCTCTGTTCGAGGACGGCGCCATGGCTGTGTGTTGATGATACTCATCTCGCGCTTCCGCCGCCGCCAGCTCCATCCTCGCCTGCTCCTCACCCGTCCTCCGTGGCTGCGCAGACGCCAACGGCCCCTCTTGGGGAGCGCGAGCTCGCAGTGAGAGCGTTCTGAGCTGCTGTGAGTGACACAGCCCAAGCCAACATGTCTCCTGTGTGTGCCGATTACACACTTGGCTTAGCAAACACAGTGCAACTGGGTGAGAACACTGCTTGGGGCTCCATCAGTTTTGGGCCATTGGTGCCCCTTTGACCATCCCCAGCACCTTCCACCACAGCAGCTCAAACCACTTTATATTCATGAACCGAACTGCAGGGCCCCTCCGCAAAACAAGTGCTGTGATCCCCATTTAACAAAGGGGAGCCAAAGGAGTAGATGAGTTGAGGTCTTGCTTGTACCTACACTGCTTGTGAATGCACAAGCAGCTTGTGCAGCAGCAACCACTGCACTGGCACATCCCAGTGGTGTGTGGGGCATGCCAGTGGCTGCTTGTGCAGCCAAATGTCCAGCCGTGGTGGCAACATGGCCCTGGTGGCAGTGGGGGCCCACGTGCTCCCACTGCTCATGGTGCAGGGGGACCTTAGAACTCTGGGAAAGGCTCTAGGAGAAGACATGGGCACTGCGTCAGCCTGTATGACTTAAGTGATGCTGAGTGAGGGGTTATTTGGTCACACATCAGAATGTAACAGCGGAAAGTGGGAACAGAGCCGTTAGCAGGAGGCTCTTGGGTCAGTAGGTGAAAGTGCATGCCAGTCTGATGGCTGAGATGAGACAAGCCAAACTGAAACTGGAGTACAGCACATGCAGGAGTGGTTACCTCTAGGCAGAACAAACTGGACAGTGGGCCATCCACGGCCACTTGGAACCAAGTCTGGATGACTTGTTTCCAGCTCTGCCCACCTGTTCCTGATCCCAAAGGAGACACTGATTCTGGTGGTCCCATGGTGGGGTGGGACACACCGAGTGAGGTCTTCACTGCCCCCCTGGTGTCCTGAGCTAGAGTCCCCATCCCTGGGAGCCTCTGGGGTGCCCCAGGCTCCAGGTGAGCTATCTCAGATCTTGAGTCGGAGGTTGTGTGCAGGTTCCCAGCCTGCTCAGAGGCTGTGTGTTACTGTCTGTAGGCTGGGGACCACAGTCACAGCCTGTCTCACTTGGGCCAAACTCCTTCTGGAACACTCCTGTTTGCAGCTAAAATTTTCCATGCTGAGCTTTTGTGTAAAAATACATTTAATTCAGGTGTTTGATTAACTGCCTTTCAACTATTCCTGAGTTATGGAATGAGTGGAGAAGTTTTGCATGTAAAATTGGACTCCATGCTCCGGTAGCCCAACTCCGATTTCAGAATCAAACTCCAATATACCAAACATGTTTCGGGACCCCTCCATCAGCCTTTGCTGGAAGGGGGAAGGAAAAACAAAAAAACGAAAGCCCAACAAACTATCCCAGGATCAGTGTGGGGAAGGGTCTGGAGATCTCTAGAGAGCTGTGGGAACGGCTCCATCCGGGGCTGCTTGTGCATTTCAGTGACAAAACTGACAGAGATGACATGTGGCTGCTTGGCAGAGCCTGCTGCGGGATCGAGGAATCGTAGAAGGGTTGGGGTTGGAAGGGACCTTAAACTCATCTTGTTGCCATGGGCAGGGACACCTTCCACTAGACCAGGTTGCCCTGTCCAATCTGGCCTTGGACACCTGCAGGGATGGGGCAGCCACAGCTTCTCTGGGCAACCTGTGCCAGTGCTGGGCGGGGGCTAAGAGGGGATTGGGGATGAAAGAAAAGAAGAGAGTGAAAAAAACAGGAGGCCTTGGGACAGGGGCTCCGGGCACGCGGGTGTGCCGGGATCTGGAGTTCCGGGGGTGTCCGGGGGGCAGCCGAGGGGTCCCGGGCTCTGCGGGCGGACGCTGCGCGCAGGCGCGCGGACAGACCCCGCTCCGGCGCGTTTCGGCCCCCGCCCGGCAGGGGTCGCTCTCGGCCCGCGCTGCGCTGCTCGCGCTGCTCGCGCTGGGGGCGGCTCCGCCCCTGCGGCCCCGGCACCTCACGGGCACCTCCCGGCACCCCCCCGAACCTCCTGGGCACCCCCAGGCACCTTTGTTCCGCCGCAGTCCCGGTCGGGGCTGGGCGGCGCGCCGGGACCGCTGCCTGGGCCCGGGGTACCCGTGCGGGGATTCTCGGGGATTGGGGTGCCCGGCGCCCCCGCCGCAGCGCGGCCGCAGCCTGTGGCCGGTGGAGGGCCAGCGGGTCCTGAAAGGGGAATGGGATTCATGAATGGGATCAGCGTTTGCGTCGGTAGAATTTTAATGAGCCTTGAAGCTTATTTCTGAGCGGTATCAGTGACAATTCCCGGGTCTTCCTGTTGGCAGGGAGCTGTACCCTGGCCCGATCCCATCAGGTGCTGCCCGGGGCACGCTCCTGTGTTTGGGATGAGGAACAGCAACAGCAATACCGGCAGCGTGGGCAGAGTCCACCGGGAGCGACAACAACCGGCACAGGCTTGCAGGCTTTGCATTCCGCACTGGGAATGATCTCATTATCCTTGCCGGGGTCTCGGCCAGCTACTTGAAAAATACTTATTAAAAAACCACGGCAGCTCTCGGGAGAGGGTCCTCGCCAGGAAATGGAGAGAGAACAAACTGGATGTGTATAAACAGAGCAGGGGGAAACAGCCACAGTGGCAAAAATGGCTCAGGACCTGCCCTGCTGTGTTCCCGGTGCAGACTGAGAGCCCAGGCCACATCCCAGAGTGGACAGCAGTGCTTTGTGTCTCCTCTGTCCCTTCATCCTCCACTTGTTCCCATGAAAACTTGGAGTGAGGAATGTTGGTGCATGTGGGGGCCCACCCACTCCAGTCACACAGGAGCCAACCCTGCGACATTCCCATTGCTCAAACACAGGGTCACCTGGCTCATCCCCTTGTCCTGCCTAAGCAGGGTCAGCCAGAGCAGGCTGCGCAGTGCTGGTTGGGGTTAAATGCCTCCCCTCAGGGCCAGGGGAAGGTGCAGAAGAGCACGGGAGTGACCCTGCAGGGGTGCAGCAGCCCCCAGGGCCACCTCCTGCCCCCTGCCCGTGTGCTGGCAGTGCTCTTGGGGCTGTTGTGTATTCACGCCATCACGGCACCATTTCCACTGCTCCTACTGCCAGCTACATCTTGGTTTTTTGAATCTGTGGGTTAAGGACATACACAAGCTGTGTAGGAGCTGTCATGTTCCTGTAAGGAACCATGAGTTGGAAATCAGCAGGAAGCAGAGATCCTGTGGGAAAAAGGAAGGAATAAGTGAGGGGAAAGCAGCACTACTCAGGTCTGGTCACAGGACACGAGGCATCGGTTGTTCTTGCAGTTACAGCCACTAAGTCTGGGAGAGAGGGATGGTGTACCCGGACAGCCATGTCAGCGTCTGGGGCCTCCTTCAAGCCGGCAGTGATGGCAGCAGTGGGTGGGAAAAGGTTGGGAAAACATGGGGGCTGAAGGGAGGCAGAAACCTTTCCTTTTCCCTTTCCCTTTCCCTTTCCCTTTCCCTTTCCCTTTCCCTTTCCCTTTCCCTTTCCCTTTCCCTTTCCCTTTCCCTTTCCCTTTCCCTTTCCCTTTCCCTTTCCCTTTCCCTTTCCCTTTCCCTTTGCCTGGTTAACCTTAAGTCTGTGGCCAAAAAGAAAGGAGCATTCTAATATAAAGCATAAAAACAAAGGGAAACAAAGTTGAGACCTATACTGCTGCTGCATAGAAAGCTTCATTAGCCCTGTTGGCACAGCAGTAATCAGAGAAAAAAATCAGTAGGAGTGATGCGAAGGGACTGACTGCCAGGGGAGGACGTAGTGCTTTTGCTGTCTCTTGATGTCTTCAAGCCCAGCCAAATGCCCATCTGAAGCTGCCTTAGTCAGACAAGTTACTGAATTCCACAGTAACATGGTGAAATTTCCCTGACCGCAGGTGCAGGAGATCAGGCTGCCCAATCCATTCCTACTATCCTGGGAATCTGCAGGAAGGAAGTGCAAAGGAGGACCACAAGACCATGATGTTATTTGTGCTCTTGGGTAGGACTTCATGCCAGTGCTGACCCATCTGGCTCCAGCAGCGTTCCCTGTGGAGCCATGACTGTGATGGGCGGTGAGAGGTCCCATAATGCCTGGGTGATGGGGCTAGCTGCTCTTCACCCCTGCCCCATGTGGGCTGCCTGTCCCTGGGCCACTTGGGTTGTCCCTGTGTCCCTGGGCCACTGGTGCTCCTGTGCCTATACCACAATGACCTTAGTGCTCCATGTGATGGCGAAGGTGGGGTCTCGGAGGGAAAAGACTCCACAGACGCAGGCATTTTGCCTAAGGAGGCTCCATGTCCAAGTGCAGGGCAATTGTGGGCCCTTCCTGGCTATTCTGCCTGGCTCTGGTGAAGAGCTGGCTCCCGAGCTCTCCCCACAGGGTTACTCAGCCCCTCAGGTGAGCAGATACTTGAGGGTAGACCTGCCTGGAAGAGGCCAGGTCTGCAGTGTGGTGAGGCTGACCATGTATCATTATTTCTTCCTTTTTCAATGTTTATCAGCTGTCCCCAGTCTTCAAGGTATGACACAGCCAGGTAGGCCTAATCTTGCTCAGGATCAGGGGTGTTTGTGCCATCTTGCTCACAAGATCTCATTGCAGTCCCAGCTGCTGTAGCTCTGTTCCTCCTCGGGAGTGAGGGCCTGGAGCTGTGCTAGATACAACCAGATGGGGATGGAGAGATGGAGCTGTGGAAATATTTGCTTAGTGCCCAGGAGCAGCCTAAAAGGCAAACTGGCTGTTAACAATTATCAGAAAAATAATGCAGAGCAGATCACAGTTCTGCCACTGAACAGATCCATGGTGGAAGTGCGCTGTGATTTCCATATGCAGCTTTGTCTGCCTCTCTCTAGAAAAAGAGTTGGAAGAGTTTCAGAGAAGAGCAACAAGGATGATCAAATGCAATGAGTATTTTCCATGTGAGGAAAAGGTGGATAGTCTTTTTAGCCTGGAAAAGAAATGACTGAAGACAATTATAGTATCAAGTTTGGCAAATAGAACTTGTCTGCAGTATGATTTCTCTTTGTCCCTTCAATATAAGAACCAGCAGCACCCCATAAATTAGCAGGTAACAATCACAAAACAAAACACAGATCTTTTTTTAATGTCATGTGCTGTGTCAGACTGCTTCATACAGGGTATGGTGGACCCTCAAAGTTCATGTGCATTCAAAAATAAATTAAACATTTTAATGGGAGAAAAATATCCACTCACATTGATGGAATGCCCCGCTTCTGCTTCTGGAGCTGGGAGCTGTGGGTGGCTGGCACTGACAAAGTGTTCTGGGCATCACGGCAGGGTCTGTGCCCTCTATACCCCAGTGCAGATGCGACAGCCAGACTCCAGGAATCAATTACCAAATTGCGTCTCCTGCAACAAGCTACCAGTGGAGAAACAGAAAACGGGGGTTTGTAGCTATGCTGAAACTTCACAGTTGATTTTAAGCCTCTTAGACAGTATAATACTGACTGCTCGGGGCTATTAACTGCAGCCTGTGCCAAGGTGCATGGAACCCCCCGTGCCATGCCTGCATGTGATGGAGTGCATCCCTACACCAGCAGTGTGACTGACTCAGATCAGAAACCAGCTTCCTGGGACTTCCCACCAGCATCCTTTCAGATTGCCATCCAGCAGCAGAGATCTGTGCAGCCGCGAGGTGACAGGCACCAGGAGACAGCATTTTCTTCAAAACACGGAGAGGAATTAGCGCAGGCTGGAAGCAGCCCCCCACTGCCCTCTGTCCAGGGTGGGACATGCTGCCTGCTGGGCTGTGGAGAAGGAGGGGGCTTGCCCTTCAGATGTGGCTTTCCCAGTTCAGCTGGGCTTGTAAGCAGACACCATGGCAAACAATTTGCATGTTCTTGCAGTGTAAATCCTAACTTGATTCTCTCAAAGCTCCTGCTGTTGTGCTACTGTGGTGCTAAGCAATGTCTGCATGGTGGAATGCAATGCTATAGCTTAAATACTTGAAATTAATTGAGAGCAGTGGGGGTTTTGTGCTGTGGGACCACACCAAGACCACTGATTGCTTACAGTCCTGTAGGTTAGAGCAGCAAGGCAGCTGCACGGGTTGTCTGGGCAGGATGAGCAGAATGGACAGGCCACTAAAGCAGCTCCTGGAGGTCAGTTGCATGGTGCTGTTCCTGTTGTCACTTCAAGCAGTGCCTCTGCTTTGTCACACGCTTCCTATTTTGCGGCACACTGCTCTCTGCAGTGCAATCACAAATCCTCCATCTTTTTGTCAAGGTGATTCCTGATCACCATTATTTTTGCATACCTTCTGCTACAAGAAAGAAGAGACCAATACTGAGCTGCAGTGAGTGCTTAGCTGGCACGGTAACCAACCAAATTCTATGTTAGCAGTATGGTTTAAATGCCCAGCCTGGTTCTACGTGGTGACCAAGAACACAGTGAGTGGAAGGGGCCCCTGCTCTAGTTTGGTAATGCTCCCCTATTTCCTCTATTTCTGGAGTTCATTAGTACAATATCAAAATTACAGACCACAACACTTTCCATTTCTTTCCTTCATTCTGAATTAAAGACCTTCTACTGAAGACTCTCACTCCAAAAACCAGCCAGGCAGTTTCTAATATCAAGCAAAATGCCTGAAGAACAAATTGCTCCTATCAGAAATAAAGCATTTTAGTTCTGCCACAAGCAGAGAGATCTGTGTTTATAAGTCCCTCCAAAGGCAACTCCATCTTTCCTGCTTTCCTCTCATTTTCTTTTGATGCACAAAGCCTGCACACTGCAGTGTTGTGATTGGATTCAGCTTTGGAGCAATGTAATTGTAAATATTCATTGGAATCCTAGCTAGTTTTCCCAAGTCTCTCTTAAAGGCTCTGCAGCTATACAAACAGCCATGGTTCTGCATTAGCCTCACAGCCTGGAGGCTGCCTATTCCTCCCCAGCCCCAAAGTCGGCTCCTTCAGAGGCTGCATGGAGAGAAATCAGCCTTGCCGACCATTTTAGTCAATGCTCTATTATTTTCTTTATTCCCTCTTTAATGCCTGTGTTGTAGAATTGACTCTCAGATCCAGGTGCCCGGTGGGGTTCCTTGCTGGTGTCTACACAAATAACGGCTCACCTTGGCTTGCAGTTCCCCTGGCTGTTGTGGCCATGTGTTTCTGTCCCTGTCTCTCTGCTGACAGTGATGAGATGTCTGTGAGTGGCTCTGTGTCCTGGTGTACGGTATATGGTACATGGTATAGGGTACACGATGTAGGGTATTGTGCCTGTGACCATTCCACCCTCCTCTGAGGATGCTCCATGGCTGCCCTTGCACAGTGGGGCAAGGCCAAAGGCAGCAAACTCCTGCAGCCTCCAGGGAGCTGAGCCCTGGACGTCAGCCAGACCCTGCCCTAGTGGTGCCTGGGCCAAACCCTGTGTAGCCAAGCTGTGAGCCCCAAACCGACCATGCTCCCCAGGTGGTCTCTGACTGCAGCCATGTCCTGCACAACTCATTTGCAGAGCAGCACATGTAAGAAACTGCACACAGCTATTCTGATGAGAAGGAAAATTGAATCCAAAAGTTCTGATAGCAAATCTATCCTCCCATCTCTGCCTCATCCACTCTTGTGTTCCCCACCACGGGTGGGACTGCACTGCTCTGGCCAAAGCCTGCGGCACAGCAGCACATGTCATGCAGATGGTGGTATCGGAGCCTTCATCACCCACTGACATCCTCCAGGCTGTGCTTGCTCCTTTCAGCATGTTATAGCACGTGTTCTGCCTCCTGGGGAACCTGGCACCAGGCGGGTCAGCAGTAAAAGGGGCAACTCTGAGGGTGATGTGGTGGGGCTCTGGGAAAGGCAGAGCTGTGTTTCAGGGTATGAACAGGGATAGATTTAGGAAATGAGCAAAGCTGGCATGAACCTCAAGAGGCTGATAGTCCATCTTCCAATTCTGAGACAGGGGAACCTACAAGTGCTGTGTGTATTGTATATCTGTCCTTAAAGCTCTCCTGTAATGCAAGATCCTCAGGGCCTGGCAGTCTGTCACCTGTTCTGTTCTCCTCCCCTTTAGAAAACTGTTCCTAACCCGGATCTGTTCTGATGCAGGCTCTGGCCATTAGTTCTTGTGTGTTCCTTCATGGACACGGAGAACAGATGGCTTTGTTCTTCCTTCCAGGAGTTTCTTACATACAGCTGGTGTTGTGAATTTCCTTGGTCATGCAAAAATAAAAAAAAAGAACAAAAACAACAAAACAGCCAGATCATAAATAACAAAAGAAACCCTGTCTAGTGGAACTCCCTACCACACAGAGCAACATCTATGAGTGCCCTGTGAGAGCAGATGAAGTAACAAGGCCTTTATAAAGATAACAGCTCCCAGAGTCACAACAGCCCATGGAAAGAAATGCCCTACTCCTGTAGATTCATATCTTCTGGGGGCAGCCACCAAACTGTCCTCTTCATCTCTTTTCATACCCCAGAGACATCTGCTCAAAGCCAGCTGCCTTCAGATGTGATGAAGGAGATATCCCTGTGGAAAATCCAGCCTCCAGCTGAAGGGAAGGAAGGTGGACAACCAGATGGTCATGAGGAGGGGCTGGATGGTGAGACGTGCCCGGTGACGGGGGCAAAAGGAACCAGTCTCTGGGGTCCCTGTGGAAAGCCACCCTCTCTTCTCCAGATAAAACACATTGCCTTTCTCCCACCTGTGGTGTGACACCATGACTCCTCAGTGTCTGCCAGGGGAGGGAGCGTGCCAGTGGACTTGTCTGCAGGACCTGACACACAGCTTGGAGCCCCAACAGGGTCCCTAGTGTGAGAACACACTGGTCCTTTTGCTGCACAGTCCTGGTGCAGAGGAGTCTTCCTGGCATGAGCTGAAAGCACAGTCCTTCCCTTCCAGCTCCATTTTCCAAAGCAGCCAGAGCAGTGTTCTTCAGCGCTCCTGCTTGGATGATTTATCCAGGTCACGGTGAGGACAGCTGGCTAACTGAGGTTAACAGCTTTCTCGGTTTCATTTCAAAAAGACATTAGCATGGGGGCTGTATTAAAGAACGATATGCCAAATCCTGATTCATTCACCAGGAAAGCTCATGATCAGGTGGGGGACTGAGATGACAGGCAGGGCTGTGCTGCCAGCCTTTCCGTAAAGGGCAGGACCATAATTCATGGTCCCAGTGTTAAATTACACCTGGCACTCCTTGCAGAGGATTCCTGGTGTGTGCTGCCTGCTGCAGGCACCCGGGACCACCAGCCTTGGGAGCCCTGAGCCCCCACACCAGGAGATTTATCAGCAACTGGGGCTGGCTCAGAAAAATATATTGGAGCCCTTCTGTCTGGAAGAAGGATGATGGGAAGGAAATATGACAGAGGTCTATAAAATCAGAAGTGTCACAGGAAGGTGACTAAGAGTGACTGTTCATGGTCTCTTCCAATAAAACAGTGGAAATTGTCAGGGGACAGGTTCAAAACAAACCAAAGGAGTTGGCTTCTCATCCCATGCGTGGTCAAGCAGGGGAACTCGCTGCTACAGGACATTACAGAAGTTGGATAAGATCTGAGTTATAAAATTAGTTTGACAAGTTAGAGATGAAAATTCCTCAAAGGCTGTTAAACACAAAGACTCCTGCTTGGGCTCAGGAAGCCCTTTCACCACAGAAGGTGGGCGAGCATCTTGTGGTGATATCACAAATTTCTATTGCTTTTCCCGGGGGAAAAGAGCTTTTTCCCAGGCAGGGGCATAAGCTGCTGCCAGACACAGAGCCAGGTGGAACACTGTTCTGCCACAGAATAGTGTTATATTTTAATGTAACAGGGCTTGATGCTCAGTACTTTAATTGGGAGTTCTGTAAGAGGAAGTTGAGAGCTGGGCTGTTTTATCTGCCACTTTCACACCAAAACCAGGAGTGAAACTCAGCTGAATTTGGTATCAATGGATGGGGAGATGGGAAGGGAATAAGAAGAAACAGAGTGTGATTCCCACCCTCCCATGCTGGGTTTGCACAAATCAGCAGACGGTCACCCATATGCATGTGCAGAACGCCTCCATCCACACACACAGACAAAGGCACACACGTCCTGCTCCCGCCTTCACCGTGGGCAGTCGGAGCGCGGGCTCACCGTGCACAGCTCAGCCCACGCGCTGGGCTGGCTCCTCACACGCAGAACAATGGATGATGTGGGAGTAAATGGAACAACATCTCATTACTTTCCTTCAAATGCAATGAATGTGTTCATATATGATGCAATATATGTATTATTCTCTATATATGAACATATTAATATGAATATATTAATCACCACCACATTAAATGAAACAAAATGTTTCTCCTTTGACTAATAAAAGGGACCCCCTATCCTGATTTTAAATGCTGCGCAGTGAGCTGCTGCTCAGACAAACCAGCGTTGCTGAGCTCATCCTGCCATCCAGCACCACCTGGTGCTCCAATGTCAAAAGTACCTGGTTTATTCTACCAGAATCCTGAGCATATTTAACTATCAAGTTGTTAAAATAGACACTTTTTTTTAATATCTTATGGGGTGCTGAAGGGGACAACAAGGGGGTACAGGTTAAGCAAGTAATGCTGCAGTGTGCGGCTGCAGTGTGCGGCAGCAGCTGCCCAGGTTTCCAGGACCAGCTCTCCTCACCCCTGTTTGCCATGTGGATCCGAATGAGAGCTTGTGGTCAGAATCCACTGAGGAATGCCGTGGAATGCCGGTGCCCAAGCAGACGTTAGGCAGACAGCCAGATGGCTGCAGAGGTGGGAGCGACTGTGCTCTCCCAAGCCAGGCTCACACGCCAGAGGAACACACTGAGCAAAGAGTCTGACTCCTGCAGCTTCTGAAATACAGGGGTAGGAGAGGGGGGCTGTAGCAGCACAGGGGCAAACAGACCTGGCATGGAGCAGACTGGCTCAGGCTGCCCAGCAGGCCTCCAGCAGGAAATGAGGGTGCTCCTACCCTGATGTCCGGGAACAAACTGAGGGTTTTATCCACAGCAAAATAGCTGAACAGGTCTCAGCAAGCCTCATCTCCTGGCTCACGGCATGTCACTGTCACCACCAGCCAGGACAGTGCTGTCCTGCGGCAGTGTCTTTGCGGCCGCCCTGTTCCCATCTCTCCGAGGTCAGCAGCAGGAGCAACACCCAGGACATCTGTGTGTGACAGCCACCACACCCCCACACCAACTGCGATCCCAGCACCCATATACAGCCAGCAGAGCTGTGGCCATCTCCCTGCTGCCCTCAACCTTCCCCTCCTCACTGCGAGGTGACAGACTCTACTCTCGCATTTTCAGCCCTTTCTTATGCTACCATGTAAATGAGAGCAGCAGATTATCACTATTGCTGTGAATGCATCAGATTTCCCTTCCCAGCCTGGGCTTCCAAGCTATACCAGGCTGGCATCTTCTCCTACCTGCTCCGAGCTCCCTCCTGGAGCTGGTGGCTGGCCCCCAGGTCCTGGCTGAGCTGCTCGTCCGGCTGCATTTCTGCTCCAGTTCTGCCTGCCTCTCCCTCTGCTTGGTCTGCAGTTGATAGATCCTCTGCTCTTGAGCATCCAGCTATTGACCCGCCCAGGGAAAGAAAGAAAAAATGGAAAAAAAATCAATTAATACTAAACGGCTTAACAAAACCCCGAACAGCACAGGCCTGATGCTGCTGGGGGTGGGGATTGGCGGGAGTAGACACCCCCCCCACACATCAGCTGCAAAAATCTGATGTTCTGGGGACAGGAAGCCAATATGGTAGGTGTGATTTGACATGCTCACCTGCAGCAACCAGACATGTCCAACTCAGGGAAGGCAGAGACTCCACTGCACCAGGGCACTTGCCTCTGCTCATGGAGGGGGTATCAGACTGCCTGTGTGAGGGAAGCAAAGGGTAGCTGAGCAAGACCAAAGTTATTCTAACCAGTAACCAAACACCCAGCTCCCATTCTGGCTGTGTGCTGAGCTCTTCAGGCATTTCCCCTGCGCTGTCCTTGTAGCAGAGGGGAAGGGGCTCGAGTACCCCACAGCCTGGCCATCTCCTCCTGTCCTTCCTGAACAGGAGCAGCTCTGAGGGCTCAGCATTTTCACTTCTTGGTGTCCCAGGTGTAAGGAGTTTACACAGGGTGGGAGCAGGGAAGGATCATGGATGTCAACTAAGGAGCACTAGCAAAAGACTCGAATATCGACCCAGTGCGGCAACAGTCCTGAGGCGGAGCCACTCTCCCGATGACTTGGCAATGGATACCTCAGGGATTCTTGCTCGCCTTCTTCAGATGGGTGAGAGGAGCCACAGCCAGCTGGCTCTACGTGGCTCCTGTCCTGCTCAGAATGGGGAGGTAAGAGAAAAGGCTGGCCAAGCAGCTCAGGAATTGGTCTGCTCGGTGGTTTAATTTAGCACAAGAACTCCTCTGCGCTGATGGCTGGGGACTGTGCCATGCCCTGCCATAACCAAGGGTCCTGTGTGCAGCGACACTGTCACTGCAGCTGTGAACAGCATCTCACTTCTGCTGCCTGGCAGCAGCGCTGTGTCCTGGGGAAAGGGGCCTCCAGAGCTTCCTGTGGACGCTGCTTGGCCACCACCACCTCAGCTCCAGCTGGCAGCACTCCCTCCTTTGGGAGAGCCATGCTGCATGGGGGGGGGCTCTCCCAAGAGTGTCATCTCCCAGAGGCTTCTTCCTCAGAGCACATGTCCGTCTGTCCTGCCAGCAGTGCCACTGTCCCTGGCCCCCCTGGGCCCAGCTGTGCCCCACATTGCTGCTGGGCACAGTGCTGCTGGCATCCACTAACACTGGCAGCAACAGAGGGGACTCATCAGTGTTCACTGACTCTTGTTAAACCTAGAGAGGATTTCGATATTAATTAGATGCTAACTGATTAGTAAAACATATTTACTGAAGACTGTCACCCAGCTGTCAACATTCAATAAATACATTAATAATCAATTTGCATGTAATTAACATGAAATGATGTTAATGTCTACATTAAAGATGCATTGTAGCACACAGAGGTGGCGTATGGCCTGTGGGGCCAGCATGGCACTGGGAGGGCCACACCTTGGCACAGCTAGGTCCTGGCTCCTGCAGATAGGGGCACAGAGGGTTGTGCCAGGCAGCTCACAGAGCGGGCATTGGGAGGTCCTGGGCAGAAGGGTGGGCACCCACCAGCAGCAGCAGTCTGGATAGATTCCAAAGCCATGGGCTCACAAAGCTTTGTCAACAGGGATAATGAGAGATAGATGAGAGATGGAGAGGAGCTGATGTCTCCTCACCATTCCCCTTCCCCCAGCTGCCAGGCAGGTGAGTGTGTTTGGGAGGCAGAGTGATTCTGGCATTTTCAATGCAATGAGGGTTCCTGCCAGTTCCCCAGCACCAGGAGTGCCTGTGACAACAAGGGATGTCACAAGGCTCCATGGAGCAGCATCTGCCTGTGGGTCCGAGCTCGCCAGGGTGTGCATCCTGCCCAAAGCAGCACTGCCTGCCCGAGTTCCCCTCCTTCCCCACATACCATTCAGACAAGCCCACCTTTTCTCTGTCCCCACACAGCCCCATGCAGTGATGTGCTTGCAGCAGGAAAGAAGGTGGCATGTTTAGGGTGAGCATCCCCCACCCCCACCCCTTCCTCTCATTTAAGTGGAATCAATTGTGCCATTTCTGCTTTGCTTTTCAAAAGCAATTACTTTCATGTCATTTTTACAGACATTCACGGAGAGCGAGAGAGTGAGGGCTTGATTATCCCCCCTCCCATCCCCATCCTGTGGCTTCCGCAGTGGCGGTGAAGTATTAAATTAAATGAGGTGTCTATGGAGCGGCGATGGTTTCAGGTCAGAGGCGCTATGGAAAGCTGTATGCTGCACTGCTCCTGTATATGTAAATGGATATATTAAAACCACTGATGTCAACTTGCAGCACTCATCTCCTCTGCTCTCGGGTGATCAAAGCTGATTGCAGAGGCAATTACTGCGAAGGAAAAGAAAATCACGGCCTCCTGCTCATCCCTGAGCTACCGGAGTTTAATTGCTTAGTGTAGCTGAAGCTGCCTCTCCATCTCCCTGGTGTGCACACACACATGTGGGAGCAGCGCACGCCTAGAGACAGACAGGAATGGACATTTTTGGGGATGGGCAGTGAGAAGCACCCCAAGCAGGGGAAGACCACAACATGAAAAATAATGGTGCTTAAAAATGAATTAAACCACTACAGCAGGCAGGGCTGTATCTTAGCAAGCTGCTGGATCGATAGCACAGGGAGAAAACCAGGGCAGCATAAATAGATGCCTATGAGACAGACTCTCCTGTTCTCTGCTCTCTGGTCCAGGATTCACAGTAAGTCTGCTTCAGTCTTTTACAGGCTGTAGCTAATCAGATTCCCAAATCCTGGTGACACAATCATGACCCCTGTTTTATAGCTGAAGTGACATGAAGGGAAGGTGTCAGTGCTGTTCTGAGGAGTCTCAACTCCTCACCCTGGTCTCACCTTTGTGTTTCACATGGGATTCCGTAGGTGCACTGGGAAGGCAGGGGACACTTTAAGGCAGGAGACACTGTAACACAAACACAGCACTTGACCAAGTCACAATCAGCCCCGTGTCACACACCTGCCTGGGCTGCCCAGCTGTACCATGGGGTCACTCAGTGCTGTGAGGTCTGACCTGTTCTGAAGCAGGGAGAGCTGAGCACGTGCTCTCTGCGTGCACACCTGTACCTGGTCTGAAGCAGGGCTGAGCAAAACATAAGGATCTGTCACTAAGGTGTTATGAGGGAGCAGGAGGGTAATAAAGAAGATGGGGAGAGGAGGCAAACAAAAGGCCTGCCTTCCCACCTGAGGGCAGTCACAGTCAGCCCTACAGCACCACAGAGGTGTTGACATCACACTCACACAAGGCAGCAAAGACCTTAAGGCTCTATTTTCTGCTATAACCCAGTTCTCTCTGATGTCTGCTGCTCTACTCCCACCCTTGGCTGGGTTGAGTGCTCCTGTGAAAGCCATCCTCACCTGACACCCAGGGAATGGGACAAACCCGGAGAACTTCAATGCTGCAGTGCATAGCCAGAACAGCCACCAGCAACAATTCCCTCAAAGGCAGAGGAACAGAAACATCTAACGGTGAGGACGGTTCTACCATCCCACAGCTGTGTTTGGGAATGATGAGTCTGGCCCTCAACAGCAAGTGTTTATAAAATTATAAGTGCTAAGTTACTTGTTCTTCTGAATTTTTGACCCTTGAGGGTTTCACTTTTGTGCTTTTCTCCTGAAGCACTGGAAAGTGAAGTATTGGGGTTTTTTTAAATTGCAACCGAAGCCTGGGACTCTGTTCTTCCTGCTTGATTCTACAACTGGAGCTTCAAAAATCCACAGAAAATCAGGAAACCCAGAAGTAAGCCCTGTGATCTGCTCTTGCTGTGGGAGCACCAGAAGCCCTTGGCAGCACTGCCTGGCCCCTAGCCATGGATGGGTTCTGCCACGTGCCCTCCCCTTCTGCCCTGTGAATCCAGATTTTCAGCCCAAGGATGCAATTCCTTTTTTATGAGCTGCCTGTCTCTTTTTGTTTAGCTGAGAGTGCTCGAAGCCCTTCCCCCACCTTCTTTTCCACCGCTGCTGCTGGTTTTATTCAATTCAACACTTGAGGGAACTGCAGATGAAATGTCTCTGAATCTAAATTGCCAGCGATAGATCTAACAGCCTTTTTCCCTCTCCCCTCCCCAAACTCCCCTCAGACAGAATGCTCCAGCACATTGTCTCTGCCATGCTTGGCTCCAGCTGCAGAATGGCAGCACCAGGATGGGAACATAGCAGTGGGAGCGTGGGGATTGATAAGAATTGTGTGCCAGCATGTGAAGGGAGAGGAGGTTGTCCAGTCCAAGCATCAGCCTGAGGAGATGGGAAATGTGCTCTTCTTTTGGGTGGGAATCAAGGGAGAACATCCTCACTATTGGTAGTGCCTGCATGCCCAAGCACTGCCAGGCTTAGTATGGGGCATGTGATGCCAGGTGGGCAAATGGCACAAGAAAGGCTAGGAGGGGCTAAACTTCTTTCCATAGGGAAAACCCTTGACCTTACAGCATAGAAAAGTGATCAAAAAGAAAAATAGCAAGCCAAAGAGGAAGAATGAGCTAAAACTGGGAGACACAGAGGAATTAAGAGCCTGAAGGAATCCATACCTGGGGAAGAGGCTCTTGAGCAGTCCTGCCAAGCAGCTTCCTCCACAGAGCTGGGACTCATGGCATTATCTTCATGCTGGGGAAGTTAAATGCTTTTTGCCCTTTGGCTGCAGAGAAAAATAAGAAAATATTGGCAGAATATTACTGAAACAATAAATATTTTTTTCTAAATGTAGAGAGAGAAAGTGAAGCGTTAACTGTATGAGGGATGAAATACTTCACTGGATAACAGCTTAAAAATGTCAACTTTGCAACTTCAGTATTATTTTAAGGAAAAGACCAGTTGGTGTGTTTATTCCACAACTGTAAATGATGTCCATTTCCATCTAGATAATAAAAACCAAAACTGACCTCTGTCCCACTGTCCCAGTCCTTCAGTCCCATTCACTCCTCATATACAGATGGAAGCTTCCCTCTCAACAGAAGCACGTGTTGAGAACAAAACAAATAGATGGGGTATAAAAATAAACATACCAAGAAGCGTCATGCTGACTGCATTAGAGATTTTCATATTTAATTAAAAGAAAATCTGCCTTTGAGTGTCTGTCAGGAAAACAGAGCCCTGCTGTTGAACCTGCGGCCTGGCCAGGGTCTGGAACAGTGCAGGTTTCCACGGAAATCTGGCTTGTTATCTGCAAAGAGAGCTCCCCCTTCACAGGAGGTTTGCTGCAGCAGGGCTGCCATGGATCCAGGCATTTTTACACCTGTCACGAGGAATAATCAGACAGCCCTTGGTATGAAGTGCTGGAAAGGGAACTGCTGGGTGTTAAAAGGAGCGGAAAAGGGATCATAAGGCAACATCTGAACACCACCAAGACACAGTCCCTCTGGCAGAGCTCTGGATTGCCTTCTCAATGGAAAAGTCAGGGTTTTCTGATGAAACAAGAAAACTACAACTAGGCAGCTCAGAAAACACATACCTTCCCTGCCCGACATCCCCATGTCCCGACTCGCTGTGTGGAGGGTGCAGACACGTTCCTCCCACCACTCATCTCTTCTCACTGCAGCATCCTCATCTCCCGCTGGCCTATCAGGTGATGACACATGAAACACAGGTCACTGGGCACACTCTGAAGTGACAGGCACAGGGTCTGGTTTTCAGGAGCAATGGATCTGTGCAGCTCCCATGAGCACCACAGGAATGCTGGATGCTGAGGAAGGGAAAGCAGAAGTTGTAAAATAACTACACTCATCATTGACACACACATGCACTCTCATGTAAGTGAGGGGAAGCCCAAAAAAAGATGAAAGCTGGGCTGAACACACAGAGGAGCACAGAAGTAAGCAAAGACCTTAAAAATATACGAGCTTATTCTGAGGTCCTGGTGACTACACTGATGTTACTGCCAAGCTGCAAAAGAGAATGATTTCTGCTGGAAGATCACTGACACAGAAATCACCCCACTTGTTCAGTGTCTGCATGAAAAGCAGGACCAAAAAGGGCCTCCACATACCAGCTGGTTTTCATCTCTTCGCCAGTGCTATGAGACAGTCCTGATGCACCTCCACTGCAGAGCTGTGAGCACCCGCCTGCTTCACGCACTGACCATGGCTGCAGGCAAGTGTGGGGATACTGAATTATAACCAGGAATTTCACTGGAAAACCTTCAAGGAAATTCTTATCAATCTATCTCAAGATTTCCTGAGGACACAAATTCCCCAGCTCTTCTCCAAAGAAAAATCTGAGATGCAAATATGAGGATTTGATACACATGGATGTATCACCCTGCTGTTCACTGTAAAGTTAGTCCACTGGAGACCAAGAACATGCAGAAAAAACCCGCAAGTGAAGTCTGTGGCTTTTGGAGCTGGTGCCAATGCATCCATGGTTGCTCTATGGACAGCTGAGGCACATCTGTCAATACTGAGGGCCCCTTCTATACTGAAGAAATACACAGCACCTATAAACACTGTAAGAAAATAACCTGTACTGTGAACACATTACAGCCATGATGCAGAGCCTCACTTCATCCACTTCCATGGCTGAGGCTTTAGCAAGGAAAGAAACCTCAGCTCCATCCTCCTGCCCAGGCTCTGTGAGCTGTCTCCCCCAGATCACCCACTGCACCCCAGACAGCCCTGATTCTCCAGCTCATGAGGGTGACCCCTCATGAAAACAGCTCTTCTGAGGGGACAGGGATTCCCAGCACACACTGTCACTCACTGAACACCCCTCTGAACCCCTGCTCCTGCACTAGAGAAAGATCACTTGTCTCAGAGCAAGACTTGCTGCTGAGAGAATGTGGCTCGAGCTAAAGGCAACAGATGGGCCCTGCAGACTGTGAGAGCAGGCACAGGCAAAGGGCTCCAGGGCAGCACAGCAGAGAGGAGACACTGATCTTACTGGGGCTAAAACCTGCTCTGACAAACAGCAGGGCCGAGCTGACTGCTGGGACAGGAGCCCAGCGTGGGCAGGTCCCACTGCAGTGGCAGCACCACGGGCAGGCTGAGGGCTGGCAGTGGAGCCCCTGCCCTGCGCCCCAGTCGACCTCTCGGCATGCACAGGCTCCGAAGAGCTCCCAAGGGCAGCGAGGCTCTCCCAGAACCTCATCAGCCATTGCTGACAGGAGGTTTTGAGGCAAGGTGAGAAAATATCACACAGATAAAAGGCAAAGATAGGAGGAAAACCTTAACCTCACTTTGCAATCATATTAGCTTTGTCAAAATAAAAGTCAGAGCTAAATCCTGCTGCCACACACCTTCCTGCTCCGGAAACCGCTCAGGCACAGACCTCTTCCATTAGCTGCCCATTGCAGGCACAAGGGAGAGACTCCAGCATTATGTCTGCACAGCAGCACCAACAGCAAATGCTGCAGCAGTAATGGGAGGTTGTTGTGATGTAAAGCAGCAAGGTCACACGGTGTGTCCAGGAGCCCTCGGAAAGGCAGAGGCTCTCCAGATATTGCAGAGGGAAGCTCAGAATTGGTCTTGGTTCATTAGGCTTTGCCTGAGGGGTTTTCTTCCACTATTAACTACAAACAAGATTCAGGTTTTGTGCGTGCAATGCAAAAAGGTGAAGGGGAAGGTTTACCAAGAACCATTTGTAAATATGCTAAGGCAATTCAGATCTGTTTTTAAAACCCATCAGATATCCTGTGTACTAAGTCACCTTAAACAAGAACGTTGAAAAAGATCTGTCAATACAGCAGCATATTTTTCTGCATAGAAATTTTACATCAACGCTGGCAAAGAGTCTGTGCATAAATTACACGTCGCAGAACACACAGTGCAATTTCCTTCCCTCCAGGCACCGACACTGTGTTCCCCTGCAGCCCGCCTGTTCCTCCCAGCTTTATGACCCCGGTGAGATGAGCTCTCGCTGTTTTTTTCCTTGTTACATTCTGATATTTCAAAGCATGGCCTGCTTCTCACTCCCATCTCCCTGCTCCACATTATTAATGAATTGGAAAGCAGACATCATTAGTTTTTGGAGACCATTTCTTTTAAAATTTACAGAACCCTTCATCTGAATCCCCAGAGCCAGTCTGCTGTTCTCATCTTGGAATCTTATTAGCATCATATCTCCTGGATCCTGCCATGCAAACTGCATTGCTATGCACTTTCCAGCACTTGACCCTTTTGCGGACGGAATTAATTTTCTCTTTGAAGCAGGAGCAGCATGCTGTTGTGCTTGTTAAAGGAAGAAAACTCACAGTGGAACAGAGGGAACAAGCAGAGGATATTCTCAGTTAAATATAGGCCACTATAAGGTTTTATATAGGTGGGCTGAGAAAGGGAAAGATTGGCCAAAAGACATAATAGATTGATGACGCTTTATTAGCAGAAACATCTCCCAAAATAGCACACAAATAAACTGATGGACAATACTCACTGGGAATTTCTGGGTTTATAGCATCTCCTGTTCAGCAGCGTTGCCTTCTCTGTAACCCTCTGCATCCTCCACCTGCTTCTGTATCCAAAATACATCCAGACTTTTGGTTGTGGAATGAATGTGACAAATATGAAGAACCAGAATTTGATCCCTGCTCAGGCCAATGGAAAGGTGCCCAAGCTCTATCTGAAGTGCATAAGTTAAAGCCCAGGTACACAGAGGTGGTTCTCTAAAAGAGAGTAATGTTTAGCATCCCAAGGACATCAGTGTCATTGCCATGATCCCCTCAAAAGGCAAAACATTCCTAACACATGAAGTAAACTAGAGAAGTGTTTGTTGCTCAGTTTGGGCTATTTCTAGTTCCATAGGACTCCTGGAACTGAAAAACTTCCCTCATCTGCATTGTTTTTATAGTATAGGTCCTGCTGTCTGGTTTTAGCAGCAATCTTTACTATGACTGCTGTAGAGGAAACTCCTTAGATGAAGGCTTCATCCTTTCCAAAATCTCATCAGGAGTAAGTTAATAAAGAACTGCAGAAGTTTATTTTTAAGTAACTTCTTGCAAAAAATACAAGGCCAAAGAGCCCAGAATAGCAGAGCAAGGCTTACACCTTCTCTATCAGCAAAGTGACCAGGCTGTACTCAGGAATTGGAATGGGTCCTGGATGGCTCACACAACCAGAGGTGGGATGGGTCACCAGTTTAAATCGAGAGCTGACTGGATTGCTCTTTTCTCATGGCTGGGCAATGGTCCAAGTGAAAGAACCAAAGAGGGATCCAGCTCATCTCAATCACCCCAGTGAGCCACAACCCTGGAGTCCTACTCAAGTCTAAAGGAAGAGGAAAGGCTACTGAGCCTGGTGGGACTGGAAGCAACTCATTCCTCTCTGCACAGACCTGACCTGTCCACTAAAGCCAGCCCAGAAGTCAGCCCTAGAGATGGTCTTTGCTGTGAAGGTTCTACCTCATTTGGCTCACAAACAGCCAAATCTTGACAGTGCCATCCAGGCACTTCTTCCAGCTCTCCAGAGGCCATGTCAGAGTCATATTCAGCACCTCAGTCATCTCTTTCTCGCCCTTCTATCTTGCCACAGCCTGTAACATTGGTCTGCCTGGGAAAGCAAAGATCCCAGACACAGGTTCCTTGGGCATTGTGCAGAAACTCTGGATGTATTTTCCAGGCTATTGTGCTGGTAACACTGGGTGAGTGAGTATCATGTCTATCACCTTATCCTTTACCATGTCCTCCAAAAAGCGAGAAAACTGGAGAACTGGGACTCACTATTTTCTCCTCATTTACTCCTCACCTTCGGAAAATGTGGGGGACATTGGTGCAGAATTTTTCAGGCAAATGGTGTTACAGCGGCAGCACAAGTGCCAGAGACAGACTGGCAAGAGCTTATGAATAGCACGATGGATGATCTATAGCCAAAGCCATGGGCAAGCACTAGCCATTAGTCTGGGCGCTGGTAATGCACTCCCCGAGTCCATTACTCACCAATCCATCAGGCAGCCTGCTACAGACGGAGAGATTCCAGCACTTCTAAATCTGTAACGCGATGGCTGGCAGCCTGCACTACATGCCCTAGGTTACAAGGGCACAGAGGAAGACAATTCATTTTGTGTCATAGCCAGTATTTCTTCTTCTCCTTTGCTGTGTGTACTTAAGAAATGGACCTTCTATTATCTGCAGATTGATAGCCAGGAGAATGCTCTGGTGTCTCCGATCACATTTACTACTGAGGAAGCTTTCAAAGGATGCCAAACCTCACAGTTCTCATTATCTGGACGAAATATGGAAACATGCACAAGTACAGATGGAATTTCTTAATTTATGAACAATGCCTACAGTTATTTTAGAAAAACACTACAATTATGAGACACTATTGTAACACTGGGTATGACAGAATCAATGTTGCCAGCATAATCTGGGCCCTTCTGTGTAAGCATATGCTGTGGGCTCCAATGCACATCTCACGCTATCCTGGACTCATCCACATGGAGAATAACGTGCACAGAAGAGGCATCAGTCAGTGCTTCCTGGTCTCTGCCACAGCTCAGTGTGTGGCTCCAGCTCCAACTTGCATTTAGTGCCCACTTTTCAAACCTCTCACAGAAGTTTGTTATTAAGCTGCTTGTGGAATTCCTATGACATTCATCACTCTCAATTCTCCAGGAGCATTCCCTAATCTCAGCACCCCTGTGAGGAAAAAGTTTTATCATCTGCACTTTTCAAATACCAAATAGAGGCAGAGAGAGACCCAAGCACCAGATTTGTCCTCTAATTTTAGGTTCTTGATTTGAGGTGTCTGGTTCTGATTTGTGAAGCACTTAACAAATTTATAGAGTTTCATATGTTTCAAGCAAAGGCATGAGTGTTCAGCAATTCTGCAAAGAAACACCTTCGTGTTCCAGGATGAAAAAGTGGAAGATAAGGACAATTAGAGCTGTCTCTGCGAGGGTCCTGGCTCATCCACTGCCTCCAGTAACATAACAAACACAGCAACCCAACAGCTGTATCTGTCACTAAAGGCAGCTCCCAGGCCACTACCTGCCATCCATCCAACACTTCCAGGTTCCACAACAGCAGGGTGAGGAATCCCTCACACAGCAACCACCTGTGCCACATGCTGATCTGTTCCCAGTGCAGGATCTGTGCACACAGCAAGTCACCAAAGAACAGGCACTTGCACCTGGGGCTGGGCTGAATTGCACCAACATGCCAGGGTCTGCAGGTTGGGAATGTGGGTCAAGAGGTGCCAAGCAACCAAAAAGAGAGTCTTTCCATGGAAAATGTCAATACTACCTTTATGTGACAATATGAGTCAATATTTACGTGGAAATTAAACATGGGAACTTCACTCATTAAAATTTAAATAGCAAATCAACTTTGAATCCACAGTTCTAGCACACGTTTAACTCTCCCTTGCCACAGCCAAAATCTATAATGATGAACACACCAAAACCTCCCTGTTCTCTTCCCTGACCCTGTTTTTCCCCATCCGCAGCTGCCTTGATGCCTGTTTTAACCAAGCTTTGTATGCAGGACTCTGAGCAGAAATAGGAAATGCTGCTCATGTCCAACATGGGTGGATTCATGTTGTGGTAAGCACAAGAAATTTCTCATTTCATGGCTTTTGAACACCCAGATTTGCAATTCAAAAACCACTGACATATTTTGGTTTGTTTTCCTTTTCTGAAGCCAGTCTGGCCATAAGAGAAAAGGGGCAGCCTGAAGCGTGAGGCATGGCCAATGCAACCCACAGGAGCTCCCACTCCCTGCCCTGGCCGGAATGAGGATTGGGAAGCAAGGAAATGGAAGAACAAATAAAAAATGGAAAAACAATGCAAGGAAAAGCATATGAGCCTGAAATCAAAGCTTTGTCATGACAAGGAACATCACTATCCCACGGAAGGAGGAAGGGACAAAGGGGTGCACAGCGATGAAATAGGAGCAGTAGGAATTCATTTGCCTTGGAGGCATCCCCACGCATGAACTCACACAGGCACAGAGCAAACCCAGCTCCCGCTATTCCTTCAGGGAACCCTCACCCTCAGGCTAATCCTAAAACAAGCATTAACCTACTTATTGCGCCCTGGGGCAGTTTGCAGGGTGAGGAAACTGCCTGTTTGGGAGGAAGGGGAGCAGATCTCAGCATCTTAGTACAATAACCTGAGAGCAACAGCAGGAACCTCTTGTCATTTTGGGAGAGCTGTGTTAAGGCAGGACACCCTCCAGTCCTTGTTTTGAGCCATCTCCTCACGTGATTAGATGTGTAACAAGTGTAACTTTATTAGAACATATGTGTCACTGTTTTAGGAGCCCTTTGCTGGGGCAGCTTGGGAAACTTCACTTCTTTGTTCTGCCACTAAAGCTCTGCCTGCACAATGAGGGCCCAGGCTGAGTCACCTGTGCCAGGTCTGTTCTGTCTGTCTCATGGGATGGGAGAGGCACAAGGGACAACGTGATGATCCCCCTCCTCACAAGGCACCCCCAAATCTCAACTGCTCTCGAATAGCCAAACACCACCTGCCAAAATGGGAAAGTGCCAAGAGCTCCTTTCGTCTGGGGCCAGGCTCACCAGGTTTGACTGGTTGAGCAGTGTTGGTCCCTTCAGCAGATGTATCCTGGATCACCTGTTTCCTCTGGCTCACCACCAAACCCCAAAAACTTGCTGTCGGCCTGACTGTCACCCCGGCCTCTTCAGGAGCCAACACCAGCATTTACATTCGGACATATGACCACAGCAGCAGGAGATACTGCTGCAGTTTTTAGCACAGGTCACCATGGTGCCACCTTTGAGACACAGATGTGTAGGTACTGGAGCAGAAAGTCCCAGTCCTGGGTGTGGGGACAATGTGGTGACAAGGGCAAAAGCAAAGACAAAGAAAACAGAATCACTGAGCTGGCAAAGTGAGTGGGCACCACTGGGATAGGCAAAACGTGAGAAAGGTTGGCAGGCAGTGTCTGGGGGAGCAGAAGCCGCAGGCAGGGTGTGAGCAGGCAAACAGGAGGGCCGGGGGGAGCAGAAGGGAGGCACCAGCTGGCTGCAAACACTGAGTGACCAGGGTGACAGTACTCCTGGCCTTTGCTGGAGGGTTTTCACCTCTCCTGTGAGAGATACAGCCAGTGATGTCCCTGTACTTTACACCTTGGAATGTACACTTAGGAAAGGAACACATGGTTGGTTCTAAGGAAGACAAACCCCTAACCTCTCCAGCTAAGAGCCTAACCCTGCAAAATCTGCTCCTTCAGTTATTGAAGCAAAGTCCAAGTGGTTGAATTTCACTGTGCCAAGATATTTAACCATTTCATTGCCAATCAGAGCTATCTCTGCAAACATAGATCAGCTCCAGTAACCATTGTGGAGAGAGTACCAGAGCCACTAACAGGCCCAATCTGCTTGGGACCTTAACATCAGGCTGAACATTGAGAAGGATCCTGATTTCCATCTGGGAATTCAGCAGCTTGTCCTGTTTTGCTGAAGATGCCATCCACACAGCACCCCTTCATTCCCTGAGTCTGCAGCACATGGACAATATCTGCCTGTAGCATCTTTGACACTTTTGAGTCATGCTGTACAGGATTGTGCTGTACTGCCTCATCTCACCGAATCTTTGGCTCCACTGATCTCAGGACCTGTGGTCTGGTTACCATCCTGCCACCTTAATTTTATCTACACCAAAGAACATAGGAGCTGCACATTTTACAGTCTGACTATTTTCACTGTATATGTTTTCTCTGTTCTGCAAGTGATCAGCTTGGTTCTTTTTAGATCCTGCAGTCAGCTTTAATCTACTTAGCTGGGATTAATGAGTGATTTGTTAAAGATTTAAAGATTTTATACACTTTGCTTAGAACTATTGTTATCTACAACCATCAGGCAAAAAGCCCCATGTAGACAAGCTGTTCCTGATGCCAGGCACATCTGTCAGGTGTGCCAAGGCTGGTAATGTGATGCTGGTGGCTGATGCCTATTGCTGGCAGACCAGTACCTCCATGGACCTGGTCAGACAGCAGTGCTCAGACTCTGCCTGCACCTTGCCCTCTGTCTGCAAAACTGAGCAAGGATGGGATAGAGCTGCCAGCTCAGAATGTGGGTCACTGAGTTGGCATCAGCAGCTCACACTATCACAGAGTTCAGCACTGATAGGAGTGGAAAACTGGGACCATCCATCCAGCCGAGGATGGCATTGCCTGAGGGTGCATGCCTTACCCAGGAGAGGTGAGGACGGAACTGGAGGTCCTGGAGGTTATCTGTAACTGTACCCCACTACTCAAACCAGCAGTGGTACAGGAGGAATGGAAGGAGGCAGTGGTTGTTTAAAAGAGGGACTCTATGTGGCAACTCTTCTTGGTGGAAATGATAACAACTGGTAATGCCAGTAGGCACATGGCTGAACTATGCTCTGCTGGGGGGGCCCCAGGCACAGAGGAGTCCCAGCTCACAAGTCCCTGGATCAGTGTTGCAGATGACTTTACCTCATCAAGAGACAGAGAGTAAGTCCTGCAGGCAAAGGCCCCAGGAAGTCCCAAGGACGGAGTTGCAGGGAATTCTTCCAATGCCACTGGTGAGGAACCACAGTAGAACACTGGAGGAGAGCAACAGGGGTCTGTCAGGCATGCTCTGTTCAGCTGACAAAAGGCACCACCTAATAGAAACCCAGACCATGAATGAGCAGGTCTGTGTGAGGGATTCCCGATGCACTGTCCCTTGTTGTTGATCTACAGAGACCAGACTATCTTGTCTGGCAGATATGGAGGTTTCAGTGCATGTTCTGGATGAGCTTTCCTTCTCCCACCCCAGAAAGCTGTTTCATCCTTAAATACAAAGCTCAGAATATTTGCCAGTCCTCGATGCAGTATCAAAACCACGAGAGAACCTTCAGGTGTTTTGGTGGTTTGATAAAAATATCAGAAAACAGCCAAGAGTGCGAGGAGGGGGACCAGGACCAGCACACCATGCAGCCCAGAGCACAAGGGGGACTGGGACCAGCTCCCCATGCAGCACACGGCATGAGGAGGGGACCAGGACCAGCCACCTGCACAGCCCAGAGCACAGCAAGGTGGCTCTGCACGGAGCTGTGGGCTCTCCCCAAACAGACACTGAGTCCCCTCTGGCACCCGCTAATTACCCCCATGGCCCAGACTTGCTGCTGGCCAGCCCTGACAGTCTGCCCATCCCTGTCCCCATCTGGAGAACCAGCACCAGTCGCAGTGCAGAATCTGCTGATGCTACACCACAGCAGATAAGCAGACACTCTCTTCTCCTTTCCAGCCTGCAGGAGCCTTTGTGACGAGCGAATCAGAGTGGTTTGCCTTGAGGTTAAAAACATCCCTGACCCCTGGTGCTGCAGGGCCACTGATCATGGAGCCATGGGACATTCCCCAGGGCCACCATCCCACTCCCTCCCACTGCCCTTGGCCCTTCCTGCCCTCCACAAAGCACCCGGTCTCCAGCAGGAAACACTGGTTGTTCCCAGTGGCCCTGGTCCTGCACTGTCTCCAGATCAGACTCAGCTACTTCTCTGTGCCAGCAAGGACCAGTACAGAGAGAGTGACCCCTTGGTGCTGGGGGGACGGTCACCCTGAAGTGAGGGGGCAGGCACCAAACCTGAGCAACAACAAGCAAAAGATGCTTCAGAGTCTGGCTGTGCTGCTGCCTTTCACTGGTGTCACACAGAGTATGTGCCAGTTTGTACCTTGTACCTGATGCAGAGGGTCTCTTCATATTCCCACAACAGAACTCCCCAGTCACAGGTAAAAGCACAGTCTATGAACTCACTTCTTTGTCCTGGAGGCACTCAGCATGACTCTCACTGTCACAGCCTGCACTAAACAAACCAAACGCACAGACACAGTGTTTTGAAACTGATGAAAAGTGTGAGATTTGTCACTTTAGAGGTAGCTAACACCAAAACTGATTTGGAACCAGTGAGATAAACACATCTGGGTTTTACAATTGAAATGCAGATTCTCAAGAACAGCAAATCACACTTTCTTGCCCAAAAGCCCTTTCAGGGACCTCCCAGAGCTGAAGAAGGCCAATGCTGAGCTGCCCCGACCCCTGGGCTCTCCCTTCCCACTGCTCCTCACTGGATGCTGCCCAGAGTGGGCAGGCTATGACCCACACAACTTTCCATGGGCCAGTGCATTATTATTTACCCTCTCCCCATGCAGGCAGCTCGGGGCAGTGGCATCCCCAGGTCTGAGAGCCCACCTGCATCCTCCTGGGGCTCCCCAGATCACCAGACACGCAGAGAAGAAGGAAAAAAAAGACAAAGTCTTGATACCTGTCCTGCATGTCCAGATATTCCAGAGACCTTTCCAGTGCTGACGCCGAGCGCTGCGGCACTGGGGACGACACTCAGGGTCCCTCCGCTGGCAATGCCAGCCCTGCGCTGACCTCGTAGCTCTCCCCAAGGTCATGGGGCTCGGATCCAAGCAGGGGCTGGACCTGGCATATGGCAAACCAGCAGGAATCCCACCGTGCGGGTCAGTAGAGGCAGAGGCTCGAGGCAGCTCTCCGATGCACCGTGCCCATGAGCTCGCTTACCTGAATGACGCAGGGGCTCTGCAGCTGTGGAGAGCCCTGAGGGACCTGAGCGAGCCCTGGCTGAGCCACCTGCGGGACTGCCTGGCTGTCCAGCCCCACGTCCCAGCCTCACACCCTCAGAGAAGTTTGAGGGGAGCAGGTGGGGACTTTGCAGAGGAAGAAACAGAAAATAAAGCAAGAGGACAGGGTGGGAAGGGGCGTCAGTTCTTATTCCTGAGTGTTTGGGCTGCTGGGCTCAGGCAGACTTTGCAAAGCAAGCGTGGACCCTCCTGGCAGGGCAGCCGGCAGCTGCCTCCCCACGCTGCAGTTTTTATAAATTCTGGGAAACACTTTTAGACAGACACTGGCACTCATAAATTATACAAGTCATTTGCATATTCCAGTCATGAGACATTATGCAAATGTGACCTGATTTGCATAATGGATTCCTCTCGTCGCTTCACTTGCTTCATGCTTTTAAAAAACGAAATAAAATGAAAGCACGGGAAGGTGAAAGCAGCAAGTTCCCAGCGTCGCTGCGCCTCCTCCCGCCACACCGTCACCCTCACCGGCAGCACGCTGGAGCGAGGGAGAGCGAAAAAACAAAGCCCCCACATGGGTTATTTCTCTCATAATTACAACAAACTAACTTTCCCGTGGTTATGATGCTTCATCCCAAGCGACATGTTGGAGCTGATAAGGGGAACTGAGTCCTGGCAGGCGGGATGAGCCCATGAGGGCCGGGGGCCCTCTGATGCCCCACGTCGTCATGTGGGGTGCTCGGGCTGGGCAGTCCTGTGGTGTGAGACATTCCTGGACTCTGATGGGACTTTGGGGGGAACAGCTTCCCTGCTGAAACTTCGACAGCACTCATCCTGAAAGGAGGGTGGGTGGGAGAGGCGAGGGGAGGGGTCACGTTGATTGTTTATAGCAAAATAGAGTGGCGACATGTCCGGAGTATGAGGCAGGAGCATCAGCTGCCCCAGCCACACTCCAACAGTCGACGGCCGTCCGTCCATCCCTCTGCAGTGGTTGGTTTTGCTGCGAGCTCTTCCCTGCCCCCCTGCACCCGCGCGAGGCAGAGCCGTGCCAGGCGGCTGGCGTCCGTACCCTGTGGGAAAAGTTAACTGTAATTCTTCAGCTTTTAAAATCAATTAACCCGTGTGTTAATTAACATCAAGTCAACGGGAGGAGGAGGAGGAGGGGAGAGCGGGAGGGAGGAGGGAGGAAAAGAGCTGCAAGGGCGGATGGCAGCGGAGTTGGCACAGTGCCATCCATTCAGTGGCAACGCCACAGCTCCCTGTGATCGCGGCAGCGGGTATATGTTACGGGGGCCCTGTGCGCGGGCCAGACAGTGCCGTAGAGCCAAGGGAGATTATCCAGACCCCCAGGAGCAAACGGCAGGCAGCAACCGGAGGCACAAGTGCCAGGATTACAGACCAGGCTCCTCTGCCGCAAGCCCTTCCTCGGACGCACACCGTGGGGACGGGGCTCCCCCGCCAGCACCGCACAACTCGGACTTCCAGCACTTTTTCCCCCCTTTAGACGTCATTCTGCCGCAGTGGAGCCAGCACAACGGATGCTTTCACACCCTGCGAGACAAAGGCCGTCGTCTCCGCCATGACACCGCTCCGTTCCAAGCCGAGGCCGGCATCTTGGAGTCTTTAAAAATAAATGGAAAAGGGAAATACGAACAATAAACACAGCAACTGAAAAAACCTCATCAACAAACCCCTTGTGCCCGCTCTCCATGCCAGGGGCAACATGGGCATCTGTCGCAGCAGAAGGCGTTTGTGTGGGGCTTTGCTTTTTTTTTCTTTTTTTTCCCCGCAAGCTGTTGGTGTGTTTTGCCATTCAGGTTCGTTTACAATTAATGCCAAAAAAAACCCCAACCACACCCAGACCAGTCAACAACAAACAAAAGGGAGTAGCCGACATGGAGGAAGAAATGCCATGAGAAGCTACAAGAATGCGAGCTCCGGCCAGTGCCATTTGCCATTCGGACAACCTCGGGGAAAGGTGCCAATTCTGCAGCTCAGGAGGGACCCCGAGGAGGGAGCACGAAGGTCTCGGAACAGCACGCTGAGGGAAGGAAGGGAGGAAGGAATACCGCTCTTACAGGGCAGGATCAGAGCTGCACACAGCCTCTGCTGGGAGGAGAGGGAATGTTTGACGGTGTAGCGAGATGCCTGTGTATGCACACGCACATAGAACAGTGCATACGGACACACAGACATACACGCACACACCGCCTTGGGTCGGTGAAGAGGAGCTGTGTGAGTGGGGGGGTGAGGAGGTGTGTGTTTGCCTCTGTGTGTGCACACACGTGTCTGTGTGTGGATATTTATTTGTGTGCACGCGTGTAACACACACACGCAGGGAGAAGTATGTTTGTGTGCCTCGGTGAGAGAGAACGACAGGGAGTGAGGAAGAGACAGACACAGACACACACACACACTCACCCACCGTCAGTATACATCCCACTTTTTGACCTAGGTATACACGGAAGACAAAATAAAAATCATACTGGAGCAGCAAGCAGGCAGGCAGAGATTTATCTACATTCACTGCTATCACCAGGGAGATGAATGGGGCCGATCTGAAGCCCTTCACGAGATCCACTATGGGAGTGAAGGAGGAGGAGGGATGCCACACAGACATGCACAAACTTGAAGACAGAGAGATTTGGAAGGTGCTACTTGTGAAACCCAGGTGGCACTCGGAGGGCGAGCGAGGGAAGGAGCCACACGGGCGCTCCACAGGGTCTGGAGGGCGCAGGGCTTCTGGACGAGGGCATCAAGGGACAGCTGGCTACTTACGTTGTCTGCGCTGCTGAGGATCCTGCAAGGTGTTCTGTTGGCACCGGGCGCTGAGCCAGGGAAGGGCACTGGAGACAAAAGGGAGAGACAAAAAATAAAGTCATACAACGGGAATATTAATTGCCTCTCTTGCGGATTTTACAAAACACACAAAATGTTTTCTTTTTGCTTGGTGTTTTTTTTGTGGATTGGCGCTCTTCCCTTCTTCATGGAAAATACT